GACCGCGGTCAACCGGTTGACCGCCAATAACCGGTAATGACCGACCGTGACCGACCGTGACCGACCGTGACCGACCGTGACCGACCGAACCCATCCCTATTCACGTACATCAAATTTTTTTAGCCAATCAAATTTGCTGCGCCTCCAAAATTCGAAAATTTCGGGTACTAGCGCTACAATTTCATTGGCCAAAAAAAAATTGATGTACGTGATGTTATCATTTCCCTTTTATCATATGTACACCCTAACCCTAACCCTAACCCTAATTTAACTAGGAAATTCCAAATCCACTTAAATTCCATTCCCACTTATATATTGAGTATTATATGCTAGTTTTATGTACGTACTCAAACGCAATTAACATATCATACACCACTACTCTGCCCACCCATGCACCACAGCTATTCGTAACACCGCCAGAATACATACCCTTACATTACCTTATGGAACAACAAACCTGAATCTCAAATTTTTATTTTACATTTATTGTCGAGTAAAATTCTGCATATAACAGCTTATGCACCTAATTCGATCCATAGTACAAAGCTCATTGTCATACCAAATCCATAAAAATAAGCCCTTGCATTGAAATAGGTCTATTTAGTTACATAATAGTAATCCGGTTTGTTATCTTCTTTATAGGTTTATAATCACGTAATACTTATATATCTAAAATGCCTTTAGATTTATCATTAAACATGTTTAAACAAGATTATATTAAGGGGCGCGCAAATACTCTACGATTAAAATTGTTTTATTTAACCATGTCATACTTAATTTCTTTTCTCCACCCTGCATAGCTTGAATATTCTAGACAATATTTATACTCAATATTTGAACTTTTTGGAATGCACACAGGATCTGAAATCCAAAGGGTAGATGGTGAAATATTGCGAAGCCATACTTTGGGCGTCTTCCATTCTCCTAAAACTTCGCAACTTCCAATCACTGCAGGCTTGTACGAAGTAAGGTTAACGTTAAATGGTAGGAGAACATGAAAAATCACAATAATACTGTCTGTATCATTATTTAATTGATCATATCGATTATTTGTATTTTTTCCTTTACTCATACTTTAAAATTAAAGATTCAAGAAAAAGGTATTTCCTACACACACAATTAGGAACAATTTAAATATTCAATCT